AGAAAACTTAAAGCAACTTCTTGATTGTATGTTATTAAGAATAACTTACTAAAACCCTATTGTTGACACAATGTGCTAGAGGTAGCCAGTTGAACACTTCTGTAAAGTGATCTGATATATACATACACTAACACAGAAAACTTAAAGCAACTTCTTGATTGTATGTTATTAAGAAGAACTTACTAAAACCCAATTGTAGATAGAATGCCCGAGAGGTAGCGAGGTGAACAGTTCTGTAAAGAGATCTGCCATTTGAGAGGAATATTTAGTCTTGTTAAGGTGTTTCATTCATGATGTCAGAAAAACATGTAGGTTCAACAAGTCTTGATACAAAATGATAAAAACCCTATAACCTGAGTGCTTTTGAAAGGTGGACCCTTCTTCTTCAGGGGCAAACTGTTATGGGGTATTTATCATCTTGTTAAGGTGCTTCATTCATAAGTTTAAAACAGTTTTGTTGTTTAGTGATGACAGAAAATTTTAGGTCGTCAAGAAATTACTGTCGCATTTTGGAACACTTTCATTAACCATCCCTCAAAAAACGTACATCACGTGTAATAGTTAAAGGAACCGCCTAAACGTCATGTTAGTGTAGCCTATATAATGTGTAAAGTGTAGTATACTCTAATCCCTTTTAGTGATGGCACACGAGGAGACACACATTTGGCATGTAACGCTGTTTGAATACAAGAAGAGAAACAACACCTCTGTAGCCATAAAGAATATGTAAGAAGTTTATGGAAATGTTATGAATGTTCATAAGTGTCAATGATAATTCAGCAAATTTCATTCAGATGACTTTAGCCTAAAAAACTGTGATGGCAGGGATTGACGTGTTAGAATTGATATTGATGCTCTGAAGACATTTGTTGAGTCTAACCCAAGGCAACACACTCGTGAAATGGCCTTGAAATTGCATGTCTCTCATGAAACAATACATAAACATCTAAAGAATAAGGGGAAAACTCCATAAAGAAGGTGTTTGGGTGCCTCACGAACTCTCCGATGATCACTGTTTCCAACTTGTGAACGTTGTTTCGTCTCTACTGGCACGTGAACCATTTTTGGACAGAATTATCACCAATGATGAAAAATGGATTCTCTATATGAATATTACACACAATAACTCAGTCGTACATAAAAACCACTTCCAATCCCAAAACCTGGACTCCATCCACAGAAAGTGATGTTTTGCATTTGGTGGGACATCAAAGGAGTAATTCATTTTGAACTCCTCAATCCACAGCAAACTGTCAATGCAGAAATCTATACTCAGCAACTGGAACGTTTAAATCAAGACCTTCATCAGAAATGCCCTTCACTCATCAATCGAAAAGGTGTTCCTCTTCTCCATGGCAATGCACGTCCACATGTAGCATGTTTGACAAAACATACGATTATGGAGTTGGGTTGGGAAGTTCTCCCCCACACACCATATTTTCCAGATATGGCACCATCAGATTACCATCTTTTTCACTCGCTGCAACACCACCTTAATGAGAAAACGTAAGCAAATGTGGAAGGTGTTAAAGAGGACATTGACATGTTTTTTGCTTCA